TCAGGAACTCCACAAATAATCAGTCAAAACTACTTTATTTCAGGAGGTCCTGAATTAATTCAGGATATCTTTAATAATTATGGAGCACCATAGTTACTACAGGACCTCCACAATTCAATTTCAGGATATCCTTAAAGCGAATTGTGGAGATCCTGGAATAAATTTGAACACACATAGATATATCATAATATCCTCAAATGGAATATCAGGAGGTTCTCAAGGATTTATGGATACCCTGATTCGAATTATAGAGTTTCTGACATATTTCAGGAGCTCCTTAAATACAATAATATTGACTAAAATCCGTGCCTCATAGTGTAGACACAAGTTAATTGTTGAAGACCACATGTTAACCTCTAAATGTCTTGATTTCTTTGTGTCGTTTGATTTTTGTCTCATTGGCGTATTACCCATGTCTTCTTCCATTCATATTATTGAACTATTGTGTTTAAAGAGTAAATTAAATCTGATGGAGATCCGAATAGTTTTTATTGAATGCTAGGCAATATCACGTCTATGACTTTGATCCGACTGTGTACACATACTATAGAATACCATTTTATGTATGCTCGTGTTCCTTTAGGTAAAGAGATATGTGACTAAATACATTTATATGTAATATATAATGAATGTATTCTAAATTAGGAAGTCTCTGTTTTCGACAAAACGCGCGTTTGGCAAACTAATTTTTAATCTCTGTTTCGTTGGTTGCCTTTTTGTGGCCGCTGAAAGGAATTATTGTTTGGAGTGTCGATTTTATTGTTTTTTGGGTTTTTTTTTGACAAAAACTAATGACTAGATTTAATTTGAGTTCGGCTAATTTGAATGTGAAATATTAGTTTTGGCAATTATTAAAGAACTACTAGTAATTTTAAATACTTTACACGGAACTTTTTTTTGTGAACAAATATTTAAATCGATATTTAATAATATGCGTTGTACGCATCTAGCACAACCTTCGGAACAGTACTGTAGATAGTGATATCTCTTCATTCGTACAATTCCTTGTTTATCTTTAATTATCAGTGTCGGTACACCTGCGTGACCTTATATATATATATATAAAAATGTTTATTACAAATTTAATTTCATTTGATTAACAATCATAATGACATTATTGTCACTTGTATTTCCTTGATATTTGTTAATAAATGACAATTAACATAAAAAATTAACACGTAAAATAAAAAAAAGGATACAATAATGAATTGAAGACAGTATTTAGTTACAATAAGTTTAATCTCTCACGGTTTATGATTTAGTTATACCTTTTAAACAACATCGTGGATTGATTGATCAATGTTTGCTTAACGTCCAGTGGAAAATATTTCATGCATGTTCAGGACGAGAACAAATTTACAATAAATTCAATAGTTAGATCCTGTAATAGAAGCCGTCGGGGACATATAGATTGCCACTGGAACACGAGGGTTTATTAGATAGGGACAAAAAGTTTGCATTGCAACAACAGGCCACCTACGACCCCTCGAAGAGTTGGTGCAAGGTTTCCTACCGTGAAGAGAGCGTGGCATTATCTTTTCACGAGGCATCGAATTTAACGTCCCCATTCTGACCGAATGTGGCTGTGTACTTATACACCCCGCACAACCAAACGAACGCTCCGCTCCCACTTTGTCAAGGGTTTTTACTGTATGTCTGAAGAAGACAAAAGAACATATTTCTATTTCCCAGTCACCCTTGTGGATTCGTGGAATTAGAATCCTTATGGAAAAAAAACATTGGAAATTGTTAAATGAGGGGAGAAAATTCTTTTAAAAATGGCAAATTAAACATACCTTGTATGTAAACAACATTGCTGACTAAATATCACAACGATCTCTATACAGTAACAATAAACATACAATATTTGAAATAAGACTGAGCCATTTCTTTTTCTTGGTCTTTTTCGAGTTTCATGTGCAATGGTACTTATTATAGTGATGCTCTCTTCTTCAATCTAATTAAAAAAATTGAAGGGAGTGTATCACGTTTGTTTGTGACAAATATAAGTCATATAAGCCTCTACAAACATTATATCAACTCACTAGTTACAAAAAAGGTTCAACACAGAACAAAATTAAAAGACATTTGTCCGTCGACGATTGTTTGCAACTGGTGCTTGCTGGTTATTTGTTCTTGGTACACCATTTGTTTGTGTTCTAGTTTGTTGATTTAAACCAAACGCTGGTTGCGCCTGAGGATTTCTTGTTCTAAAATTTTGATTATTTGTTTGTGTTCCTGTTGGTCGACCCATAGTTGTTGGTAACACTGGACGACGTTGTTGTGAGGTAACCTGGGGTTGAATAGCAGCTGGACGCATTCGATTAAGTACAATATTCTGTAAATCATTTTGAAGACGCTGCTTTTGGGCTTGTGTTAACGATAGTCTTGTTTGAAAGAGTCCTATGATTGTTTGCAAAGCTCTCAATGCTTCACTGTTTAAACCTGTCTGTGTCCTTGCTTGAGGACGATTTGTCCTTTGATTACTATTACGACGCTGTTGGTTTGGAATCATTCGCCTTTGAGCGGCTGATTGCCTTGGAGGAACTCGTACATTTGTCGGGTTCGTTTGCAACCTACGCAGATTTCTGTTTTGAGACAATATTCGATTTAACACTGAAGCTAGCTGAGAACTTATTGCAGATAATTGAGGGGACCTTCCACTATTGCTGGCACTTCTAGGTAATGTTATATTATTTGTAGTTCCCAAAGGAAGTATCATATACGAACCTATTTGTCCCACCGGTAAATTCTTTGGCAAATCAATTGATTGCAACAGACGATTTATTACATTTGAATTTCGAAAAGCACTACTTGAATTTTGACTCCGTGGCAAATTTTCCTGCAAAAAATTTGGTCTAATCTGTTGATTACCTGGAGGCCCTTGTCTTAAAAGATTTGCTTCTTCGTTGTTTTGGTTAAATACTCTGGATGCAATCTGACCTACTGGTCCGGATAGGTCTGTTCCCTCATTCTGTTGTGTCGTCTGCTGACTTTGTTGAATGTCTTGCATTGTTCGAGCCTGTTGTATCCTACGTATAGCTCTTCTAGCCTCTATTGGCGAAGTTGGAAGATTAGGCAACAGTCTATTTTCCTCAACCATATTTGAAGGTTCCTGGCCGAGTCTATTTCTGTTTTGTGGTAATGCATTAGTTGGCTGAACTGCGTTGTTTCGTTGAGCTGTATTGGATGATGGTCCCCCGTTGTTACGAAATGCATTATTTATAGCATTTATGAGACGAGAAGTAGTTTGACCTTGTAAATTGCTCGGCAAGTTTTGACGAGTATTACTATTTTGAAAGTTATTCAAAGGCATAGGTCGCGCTCCACTATTTGTTATCCTAGTCGGACCCTGCAGTCTGGAATTTACAATATTATTTAATCCCCGATTCTGATTGCTACGACCAAAGTTTCGAATACCAGGGTTACGCATGTTTCTTCTAACCATAGGTCGATTATTTGTTGTTGAACCTCTAACTGGACCTCTATTCCCAGATCTAGAAAATCCTGAAGGTCTTCTAGTAGGTAATGCTTGTCTTGTTCTTGGTACTAACCCATTATTACCAGAACCTGGTCCCATGCGACCTCGCTGAGAGGGGCCTCTAGATCGATTTGGAACATTTGTACCAGATAAGCGTGCAGATGGGTTTGCGTTATTCTGTATTTGCGTGTTGTCCTGAGAGGGAGGGCGTCCATTATTACTTAAAACTGGTGCATTTGGGACCATTCTCTGACTCTGAGAACCGCTGTCAAAAGGGTTTTGCATCAACATGCCATTTTCGAATGGACTATTCGGTCGTCCTAAATTTGACTCCCCTGCTAATCCTGTTTCACCATTCTGAGTTTGTTCAGGTGGTTGCACTGGAACACCAGGAAAAGTATTTTGATCGACACTAGAAACTACACGATTGATCAATTCTTCAATTTCTTTGTCACCAATTACATTTCGGCCTTGATCGTTAATATTGTTTCTCATTGAACCCATATTTTGATTGTTTAATGCTTCGACGCCTGTTATAATCTGTTGGTCAGGTGCATCAAGTCCATTGATGCCATTTTGATTATCAAACCCGGTTGAGCTGCCTGGAATACCAGGGAAGAGGGGAAGTCCAGTATAGTCGCTATTAACAGTTGGAGCAATATCCTGACTATTTGTTTGAACCCAGGAAGGAGCAGTTGATCCATCCAAACTTTCTGTATTTCCGGTACTCAGTCCGTTTTTTACTGATCGACTCAACAATCCAAAATCCTGCACACTATTTGTATCGAATAAATTTTGAACTTTCCCTAATCCACTAGTAATTTGTTTTTCTGGTTTCTGGTTTTGTGATGCTTTCTTTTCCCGATTACTTGTGTTTATGTCATTAGCTTTTCTTGGGTCTAGATTATTATTTGATTGACTTACGATTATTCCCCTGATTGGTTTGTCATTAGATTCTCTTCCAATAGCAATTTGTCTCGGCCTTCGTGGCTGTGGTCTAGTCGCCAAACCACTGACCAGTTGGGCCATGTTTCTGTTTCGAAGTGATAATCCGAATGAGCCAGGACTAATTCTTTCTGGAGGAGGGTTACCACGTGGAATTAAAGGTTGCAGAAAGTTATTCAACAACTCAGCTTCTTTGTTTTGAGGATTTTCTCGTGCTTTATTGGCGTTAGGCAATCCTCTATGAATTTCCTGATTAGGCGACAAATTTATTGAATTTTGATCCAATGGTGGACTTTTCCTTGTGTCTAAAATTGAATTTTGAGTTTCTATCCAGACTGCTTCTGGGCTGTTTGGATTAATCGGCACTCTGTCAGAATTTCCATTCACATTAAAAGGAATAATAAGTGGCATAGATTTTGTAGAAGGCTCTACCCTTTTCACAGTTGAAGTCTTTGTTATTTTAGTTTCTGTTTTCGTTGTGCTTTGTGCACTTTCACCTCCAAGAACTGAATTCGACTTCTCTTGTGACCTCTGTAAATCTGACGAATGAGAGAACAGATTTGGAACGGTCGGATCTTTAATAGATGTTTCCATAGCTGTAATGTCATTCAAATCTAGAAGTGTTTGTAGTTGATTGTTTTGGCGATCTAAACCCGCGTTTCTGTTTCTGTTATGTGTCAAATCTACAATATCCCTAAAAGAATTGCTCTGCATTTGTGATGGGAATAGTTTATTTGAAGCACTCGCTAAACCGAAATCAGTGTTCTGAACCACTGGTACTCTTCTTTGAACATTATTACTAACAACTTCTGATACTGTGGATTTGGAAGCTGAAGCATTTGACTTACTGCTACGACTAAACTGTTTTACAGAACGCTGAGCTGAAAAATAAAAGTAATTTTAATACTTCATAAAATTCATTGTATTGAATCCACACCCGTATATTAAGACTATTTGGATCGATTCAACATGCATGTGCCAAGGTGAAGATTGTTCATATCATGTTAGCTCACTGGATGGAATTCACACAGGTATACATATGTTTTGGTCGATCCTGGACCTTGGAGGCGGACATCTGTATACCAGTGTGGATTACTGTAGCGAACTAGCCCTTGTTGAATTGGTTTACTAAAACGTAATAAACAACAGTAATATGCTACTAACCTGATTTGAACTTATTAACAAATTAATATTTAGGCAAACATTAAATCTACGAACCGGTTGTTCAGTTATTTTATTTGAACTAGATGTATGCCGTATTTGCTTTTGCAATTTCAGCTCTAAGATCGTCGCAAGGAAGTGGAATGTATGTGCGATCTGTTGTATTGTAGCAAGTTGTATTTCATAAGCTTCCTTCACGTTGTATGATCAATTTCATCAGATATAGCAGTACTTCAGTAGTGTGGTGTCAGTTAAGTTTGTGTTGAGTTAAAAACGTTCTAGAATATGCATGAAATATTTGACACAAGAGTTAAGCATGCAACAATCAATCAATCAAGCATTTAAGTTCTTAAACTAGCATTGACTTGATTCATACTTATCTATGTCTATATTCTTATATTAAGTGAATGAGCTGAACGTTGTGGAATTAAAATTTATCAGAGGTATTGTGTGCGGTAAAGTTTTTTGTGTGTTATTCGGTGTATCATTGAAGACCATGGAATAAACTCTGGTTGTAATATATTTCCTTAACATATCTTGTTCCGTGTAAATTTATACCATTTCCATTTTTTAATTGTTTAATCTCATAAAAAATACTTACCATTAACTTTACAAATTAAGAATAAGGCAAACAAAACGGAGATTCTTGGTACCATTGTCTAAAAGCAGAAAAAAGTATAGTTAAGAATTAATCTTTACGGGAGGAAAATGAGATATAAACTTAGTTTTTTTTTCGTAATGCTGATAAGTTTTTCTCAAAATAAGTATCTAACAGTACTCACGTAAACGTTCTCATACATAATACATAAAAAAAATGCAGAATTTTCAAGCTTGCTTCGACTTGCTACACATGCAAACCAAAACTTGTCATTAAAACATGTGTTAATTGAAGATTTATATATACCTTCCAAAAGTCAAAGTCAAAAGTGTCATTTAAAATCGGTATGCCAAATTTGCATATGCTTTTGGATCAACTACATAAACAATACAATAAACTTAGGACTAACAACATGCACACATAACAAAAGGACTATGCAAACATACTAATATTTTATACATGCATGGTTAAATGAAATAAGCACAATAATGCAAAAAGCAACTAGGCATATCAAGCAACATTCTATAACAAAATTAAAGCACTAACTCTTAATGCAGCAAGCAGATCAACCTGATCAACATACAGATCGTATGTCTAAGCTTTGCTTACCTGGCCTCAAAAGTAAAAAGTATTGTACACATGATCTGTATTTGATTCAGATTGCAAGTAGATTAGTATATTAAGCAACATGGCAACAGAAAATAAAGGCATAAAATGAAGCACTTAAAACTATTTGCATTGACTGACAACATTGTCATTAGGTGCCATTTCATGTAGAAATTAATTTTGCTACCTGTTCTGAACATCCCCTCTACTATTCCATATGTCGTTCAAGGAAAACACACATGGTTTTAATGAAAAGTTGGCTTTTTTTTTATTTCCTGTGTGGTTAGTGTTAATTTATTTCGTGTAACGCCTAATCAAGAAAAGACCAATTACACCAGAACAGGTGCCATCATTTCTGGCGTTACAGAACAGTATTTTCTAATAATGTGTTCAAGTTTCTCAAATAATTCAACATCATTTTTGACAGCTTAAAACTTTCAATTTTTTTTTGGAATAAACTTAAACATCTTTTTACTGGTTAACCATTTTGTGAATCTGATAGAGCACTTCCAGCAGGAGACTTTCAATTGTTCTTAGGTCAAATGATGATACGCATTTAGTCTGTACATTGACAATGATAAGCATACTGCGCGTAAGAGAATGACCGTCCTATAATTGGACAGTTGCAATATAATTTGTTTACAATATCAAGTAAGTTATGAATGGAATTTTCAGCATAATTTCTCACGACCCATTTCAGATTGTTGAATAGTTCATATATAACTCTTTATCGCCATGAACTTGTTAAAAATTGCTCACGGTAAAAAAAAAAACAATAAGTTTATAATATCAATTTGAAAACGCAATAAGATTTTGGGATCTGTACACAGAAATGAATTATCATATCTTAAAAGCTTACATAAGTCTCTTCACATCCCCAAATGAATCGTTTAAATTCAATACAGCTATTACATGAAATGTGCTCCGAATAGAAGAATTTTGTCACAATGGCTGTCTGCGACAAGGTTTTTAAATTCAAACAAGTCCTGTACAACTTAAAGTTTAATGAAAGATTACCAAAACAAGATCAAATAGACAGCTGTTACATAATAACTTTTTGATAAAAAAGTATCTTTTATAATACTCCTCAATATATGAAAAATACACAATATGCCCGTACTTATACAATATATACATACATATGATGCACTGATATTTTAGACATACCGTATTGAATAAATTTCTCTCCACAAATAAAAAAGAACGAATCAATCAGCTGCACATTCTTGTATTAAATGACAAAAGTGTAGAGCGTAATAAATATGTTAATTAACAAATTAACACTTTCCAGGTAGTTTTTACACTTCCCCTTGTTATTAAATTGATTAATTAAAACTTTAAAATAATACATAAAATGTAGAACACGACATCTATCCATCATTTCGTATGACTAAATTTTTAATAAAAAAATAATTCATACGCAAACTTTTCTGGAAAAATTTAATAGAACTATGAATTGAATAAACTCTTGCAGTTTAATAATATGTTTTGTTCTTTATTATTTAATCAAAATATGTATTTATGCATCCAACAATATTGATTTATAAATACGTCTTAAAAACAACAAATATTTCTTTTTGTCATTGGCATATGAGTAAAGAACATACAAGTTCTTTACCCGGTCTCTCTCGTTAAGTGTAATTAATTGATTGTTCTGTTCAATCACAAGAACCCATTTAATGGTTGCTTTATGGTCTTTCATCTTATATTATTATAAGGCTAACTTGAAGGTTAAGATAGAAGTGGTATGAAGGAAAGAAAGAAAAAAAAAAAAGACGGGACTTCTTTGTGCTTCTTTACAAAGCACTATCGAAAATTCGAAATCTTTTTTTCTGAAAGGACTTCCGAAATTCCGATTGCATTTTGTGTCTAGGCAGAAAATGCATATTACCATGAAGCCAATACTGTTGCTTTGTATTAATATTCATGAGCGGGAGGGGATACCATAGGAGAAAAGCCAAAATAACAAGACAATTTAAAAACAGAAAACATCATGGCAAAAAAAAAAAAACGACGACGACAAGATAAACAGGCTACAAAACACTGCACAGAAAAATAAAGATATCAGCAACATGAACCTTCTCCACTAGTGACATCCGTCGTGTTAATCCTGTTCAAACTATTAATAAAATCAATATCGTTAAACAACTTTACATGATATTGGGTTGTTAAATGTCTTTTGTCTTACTCTAAGACATCACCAAAGTCATTAAACATCGGTACATGTAAATTCTCATAAAGTCTCTTGAAATTATTATGTTAAGGGAATTATTGAACCAATGCATGTATATATACTAGACTAAGTCCTCTATGCACGATTTTTTTACATTTATTACGAATCCATAACATATAATCGACAAAAACATATTTCATTCAGTGAAAAATTTGCCAGCTAATAAACTTTCGTTTTGTATTGCCGAAGTTTCCGAACGTGTCTGACCGTAATAAAACAAAATCAACACATAATCACGGAACACGTGAACAATAAGTGAGATGATAAGACATGCAATGGAGCGATGTTTAATTTTTTTTTATATTTTCCATGCGTTTCTATTTGTTTATTAAACTTTGTCATAACAGTTGTTAAATGATTTTGTGTATTATTTTTTTTTTCAGAATCAAAAAACAATATCTAACGTCCACGTTTGTTTACCTTTTCTTTCTTCACGGTTTTCCCTCGCACTTGCGCTTTGCGGTTGCCAAATTACTAACGAGAGGTCTGGTTGTTAACGTCACTGCATATGAAAAAGCTGTCGGGTAAGAAGAGTACGGGAAGACAATGATCCAATAGCAGTTCATTTCTGAAGATTTTGATAAGATAAAGGATTTTATTTTAAAAGAAAGTTAAGGTACAAATGCTTTATTGTAAAACTTATCCATTTAAATATATAAAGCATATATTCAACTCTTTTTGTAAACTTGAACATATGACTTTAAACGTAAAACAAACGAATATAAAATGTTAAATGAATGCACCTTTTCTTTTAGAACAAACGATAGATAAGACTGTAAACAGCGAAAAAAAAACAAACATAAAAAAAAAAAAATAAACACAACACAATACAATACTGAAAACTAAACCAAAAACAACACTAATCGCTTTTAAACAATACTTGAGGTGAACCCATGTGCTCCGAAAAGGTAATCAGTTCCTACTCCAATAGTGATGTACTCGTTGTGTTACTCCCATGAGAATGTTTGTCGTGATCTACATTGATTGGTTGCTTTATGTCCAGTGCTGATCTACATTGACGAGTGGCTCAATTTGAAATGAGTTTAGAATTATACAGAGATATTGCCATCAACATCTAGGTGACCATAGAAAATTTTGTTTTGAACGCGCATAATTTATTATTAAACTAATATTCTGGAGTGGAATATTACAATTTTCTAAAACGTTGTCATGATCACCTCGACGGATGTCACTTTTCACTGCCAGACAATCCGAGCACGTGACTTTACCGTCGTTTGTTTTCACTGCCAGACAATTGGAACACACGACTTCGCCCTCGTTTGATTAATATAAACAATGCCAATTTTCTCAACTAAATCCGCATTTCGACAATAAAATGTCTCATTAGTGATTGTCGAGACCAAAATATTTGAAAATCCAAAATTTAAATTAAACGTTAAAGAACTGATAAAAACCTGAATGGGACTATTGTACGTCAATATATTATGTTCCAGACCAAACGTATAACCTAACCTGAACAATGAATCAGAGGTTTGCATGAGAGAGATGTATTCCTTAATTTAATATTACAAATCTCTTTAATGTACATGTCATTAAAATGATATCCTTACCGAAGTACTAGCTACTGGCCGGTACTCTGGGGAACTAAAAGTAGTATGGTGTAAACTAGAACTTGTTGGTCACATAGCAATCTATCTAACATCATATTACAATCCTAAAACATCTATAACGAGGAAGGATATATGCCATTTGAACGCAGCATAGACAGAGCTAACAGTATAAAATAACTCATTTATTATAGCAGCTGAAGATTTCAACTTACCTGGCTTGGACTTGAAAAAAAAACCAGCTGAACTCGAACACCCAACATGTGAATATTTACCATAAATTCACCGATATACTAGACGATCATGGCCTAGCACAACTAGTTGAAGAACCAACAAGAGGAACAAAAATCTTAGACCTTATACTTACAAACTACCCAGAAAGTTTTAGGAGAACTGAGATTTTACCAGGAATATCTGATCATGACATTGCATATACAGAAGTAAATAAGATACCAGCAAAGATCTAACAAAAACCAAGAGAGATCCTACTCTACAAGAAGGCAAAATGGGAAAATGTAGAAAAAGACCTTAAAAATGTACAAGCTAAGATTGCATTATTATTTAAGGAAAATGCCAGTGCAGAAGTCATTTGGGAACTCTTCTGTAAAACAACTGAAGACAGCTTAAAAAGAAACATTCCACACAAAACAGCTCGCACTAAAAATGGTTGCCCATGGATTACCACAGATATCCGTCGACTTATAAGGAAGAAAGATAGAGCATACAAAAGGAGGAAGAAATCAAATGACGTAAATGACAACTCAAAGTACAAAGAAATCAAACGTGAAGCACAGAAACAAATACGCAAAGCATACTGGAGATATATAGAAGACATAGTCACACCAAGCAGTGAAAGCAATGAAAAAACAAATTGCATGAAACGCTTCTGGTCATATATAAAACACAAAAAATCAGATGGAAATAACATACCACCACTGAAATCAGATGGTTCACTTCACGAAGATTCATTTGATAAAGCCAATATATTAAATCAGCAGTTCAAAGATGCGTTTTCCAGTAAAGATGAATTTACCAGCTCCCAATACAAACAGAGATGCAAAATGACTGGGAACTTTGAAACAGCAAAAGACATAATCATAACAGAAAATGGAATCAAAAAGCTATTATTAGCACTAAACCCACATAAAGCAGCAGGCCCAGACAACTTAACACCTAGAGTAATAGAAGAGATAGCATTACAAGTAGCACTAATCTTAACAATGATATATCGAAGATCATATGAAACTGGAATAGTACCAACGATATGGAAAACAGCAAGTGTACACCCAGTTTTTAAGAAAGGCAAACGATTTGAAGCTATCAATTATAGAACTGAATCTCTTACCTGCATCTGCTGCAAAATCATAGAGCATATAGTCACCAGCCACATAATGAACCATGCAGATAATAATAACATCCTCTACAAAATGCAGCAATGGCTTAGAAAACAATTGTCATGTGAGACACAACTAGTGGAGTTCATCGACGACATCACGAGGAACCTTGACAATGGACAACAAACAGACTGCCTCATCATGGATTTCTCGACGGCATTCGATAAAATAAGCCACAGTCTCTTAATCCATAAACTTATCATTATGGAATCAAAGAAAAAACAAATGCTTGAATAAATGGCTTTCTTTCTGACAGAACACAGCGCGCTGTCATAGAAAGGGAGAAGTCTACATAAATGACATGCCGGACAACATTTCATCAACAGTGAGGCTATTTGCAGATGACACCATTGCATACCTCGCTATCTCATTAGAAAGCAACAGTCTATAAGAAGACCTCAACAAGCTAGCCACGTGGGAAGAAAAATGGATGATGCAGATCCATCCCGATAAATGTGTAGTTCTGCCAATCACCAAAAAGAAGGAACCAATACACACTAATTACATCCTCCATTGCCACAACTTAGAACATGTATCATCAGCCAAATTTCTGGGAGTCACCATAACATCTGATCTAAAGCTGATCTAAAGTGGGGTTCTCATATAAACAACATCTGTCAGAAAACTAATTGGACAATAGGATTCCTTAAACGAAACTTAAATATAGCAAATAGTGAGATCAAGGAAAAGGCATATACAGCTTTAGTAAGACCGACAGTTGAATATGCAAGTTCAGTATGGGATCCTCACCTTTAAAAAGACAAGCATAAACTAGAAATGATACAAAGAAGACCAGCAAGGTATGTAACAAACAGGTACCACAACACATCATCAGTTGAATCTTTGCTACAAAAACTACAATGGCCAACACTAGAGGAGAGAAGAAAGAACGCTAGACTAACCCTCTTATACAAAATTTCAAATGAGGAAGTAAAGATTGATGCTGGCGACAAACTATACCACCAGACAGATTATCAAGACATACTAACGTTCACTTTTTCCAAATACCATCTTGCAAGACC